GGTACATAGGTCACATCATCATTCTTCCTACTGTTAGTGTTTTTTAAAGTCCTGTCCTATTTAGAGGTCATCATTTCAGAAAGCTTCAAATCTCTGATTGCTTTTTAATATTGTCCATTCATGTGTTTATATGGGTGTCTGCTGTCAGACGGTCTTCTCATATAGGAGAGTTTCATGTCGCATCTAGACATTGACTGGAGAGCTCTCTTGAAAGCACACACCCAGACAGAGTCCAAATCTATGCCAATGAGTGAATTGTAACTCATAGTGACGCTATAGGACAGAATAGAGCCACCCCATAGGGTTCCAAGGCTACGGTCATTACTGAAACAGACTGCCACATGCGTCTCCCATGATGTGGCTGGTGAGTTTGAACCACCAACTTTTCAGTTAGCAGCCAAGAACTTAAACACTGTGCCACACACACTTATGTAGAAAATACCATCCATGTTTAGTAAATTGTGGGGACTCTTCAGTGGCAAACATTATTTCCAATGTGGGAAGACCATTCAACTTTTACAGATGTCTAAATAGCACAGATCTTAGAACTACTAAGGGAAACAATTGATGATCAGGAATTAAACCAAAAATAGCTCTACTATCATTCTTGAGAGTATCTGTCTTTTATTATTATAACAAAGTTCACTTTTGCCAGTCCTTGTAGAATTTCAAAAAGGGGTTCCATTCCCTAAGGAAATCATTATAACAGGACTCTCTGGAATGTTTACACATCAAAATAAATTTTAAAATAAAACAGCCTTAAATAACTCTTCCTTGAAGATATTCAAACCTCCCTTGAACTACTTAACAACCCCATTCAGGGAATCCTCTAAATTTCTACAACACAAGGGCAAGGTTGTTGTTGATTTTGTCAAGTGTCATCAAGTTAGTTCCAACTCATAATGACCCTGCTTCGGGTTTCTGAGGAGTGGCTGGTGAGTTTTGAACCACTGATCTTGCAGTTCAAACAGACCTTGTGGTCCAATGCTTATCCTACAACGCCACATGAAGACGCCGATTAGGGCAAGGTACTGCCCCCATAGCCAGGGCATCCCTTCGCCTATATGGCACATTCATGTGAATTTATAAACAACACTTTCCCTCTGTCTAGATGAAATGGTAACTTTTCATCTAGACATAGATAGAATTCTTTATGTTAGAAAACGCCTAGCACAAGGACTTGGCAGATTTCCACATCCACTTGCCCTGCCCAGTCGGCAAGGGGCCAGGTGCCTGCTTAACACAACCCTGCCCCCACCTCCCTTTTTCTTCCCACCTCCCACAGTATAAGAGACTATAAACAGGTTATCCTTTACCCAAGGTCATAGTCTTAGCCTAGCAAGTTGGGAAGATAATGACAGAAAAGTACAGCCTCCTAAGCTTGGTATAACATGAAAATGTTTTCTTGCATACACTCCACTCTAGGCAATAGCTGCCTGGACTGTGTTGAGAAAGATTTGAGACTAAATCCACTTCTAGCTAGCAGAAGTGGTAAATGGATTAGCAATATATCCATTTGTTTCTAACAATACAAATGCCTCAGATTTGCTCTCCTAGCCCAAACCACCCAATATATGCAGTGCTCCTTAAGCTACTGTCATATGCAGACACTGTGAGAAATGTTTTGAAACAATCCACTCCTTCCACTCCTGGTCACACACTGGAGTCTCCTGGGGGCTAAAAATTATCTGAAGAGCCTTTACAATTTATCCATAAATCTAAAATTTGTCATATGAACAAAGTATTTAAATACAAATTTTTGAAAAATACAAATCCTTTGGCTCCACCTTCAGAACTGCCAGATAGGAAGCTCCTCAGATGACTTTAATGTGTCCATTTACTGAACTCATAAACCGCTTGGAGGCTACCAAGATAAAAAAAAAAAAAAAACTAAGTCACTTACTCCACACTTACCAACTATCTCATTATCTGACATTTCTTATTTATAATGATTTTAAAATTCTTCCTTCCAACTATTTTGCACATGAACCTGGATTTAGTCCCAGCATCCAGCTCCCTCCAGCAGAGCCACCCTTTTCTCTCAGGCTTCCATCTGAAGCTACTAGCTCTCCACAAGGCCTCTTGTCAGTCCAATTCCCACAACTGGAACCCTCTTTGAGGCTCTTTATATGAAAGAGATGACTGAGGCAGATATTAATGGAGCCCTTCAAAGAAGGGCACACAATGGCCACAGGGATCCAGGAGGCAAAGGACATTGCTGATACACCTCCCCTTTACTCAAGCCCCTTGGAAGGATCAAGTCCTGAAACGGAAGAGTACCGAGGGTAATTCAGAACCTGGAGACTGCAGCAGATACCAGCTGCCCTTTCTTTGTCTGGCCAGGACACTAATCTCTTCTTCCAAGTAGCTGTCAGCCTTTAGACTTTTGGCCTCAGATTCCAGGCCCACCAAAACCACAAGTGCATGCCTCATTTCTGTTGAGTCTTTCCCTGTCTTTGGGCAGCAACAGATTGCTGAAGCTGCCAAGGGTTGGCTGTTTGGAGCATTGACTTGGCAGCAACCCCTACCAACCAGCTTGACCCCTGACTCCACTGGTTGACCAAGCTCCAGAGCCATCAGCCTCCAGGCACCATGTCCATTCCAGCACCTATTCAGAAGGCAGGGCCTTGGGGTCCAGAGCACAGCAGTGTGGGGACACAGCAATTCTGAGAGTCTGGGCTCTAAGACTACCTCCACATCCCCCTCCTTATATAACACCTGGTCTTTGGAACTGAACCACATCTATACGTTCTGATGTATACATTGTGTTGTTCTGCATCACAATGAAATTATGTAATACTTTGGGACACGTGTCAAAAGTGTTTGGAATGAAATGGTCTAAATTAAATGCTTTACACTGCAATTTTAGGATCCTTTCCTCTCTTTTGTTCCCTAGTGTTAACTAAAAAAAAAAAAAAATGGCTTACTGTCACCCACAAACTCTCCATTATAAATTATAAATGGATTCCCTGTCAGTAAGATGGAATTTCTTTGTTGCTTCTTCATGGGCCAATGTCATTATTCTACATTAATCTTCCTCCAAATTGAATGGATTAAGTTTTAGTTCTCTGGTGGTATTTTTAGACTGTGATGTTGTGCTGAGGTTCTTTATTTACTTAGAAGGAAAGCAAGAGGAAATGGTATTGCTTAGCAGACAGAGGGAGTCCAGCCAGGTAAAATGAAAACTTCCCTGGTCATCAGGACAGTACAAATGACAATGGGTCATTGGGGGTTGTGATGTGAAATGTGTAAGTCTGTGGAAACAAACCAGATTCTTATCTGTCTGGAATTCCTTACACAAAGCCTGTCTGATGAGCAGGACATGGCTTCCAGGCATGTAATACTATTTCTGCCCTGCATCACTGAAACATCACAACAAACATAAAATGCATCCTCATAACCCCAAGTCACAGAAACCAAGAACAATCACACAGTGTTCCTCAACCAGAGCACAGTGGCAGTTGGGAGGACAATTCACTGTTGTGCAGGTAGACTGGAGCATGGCAGACTGGTTTAGCATCCCTACAAACTACTCAGTCTCTTAGTGTCTCATTTCCTCACCAATAAAGTGAAAGAAAACAATGTGCTCTTCCTATAGGGGTAAGGTTGTGTGAAATATGCACAGCACTCAGCACAACACCTGACAAGTACAAGAATTCATTAACTTCCTTACCCCTCCCTTTAAACTTGTAGGATCTAAAGAAATCGAATTTTGTAAGAGCCTAAGTTTATGAAAGACTTGGCTCTAAGTTGTTATACCACAGCCAATGATTTCTGGAACTATAAGTCTTTATTCATAGGAAGAATAATGCAACTTTTCACTCTGACAAGTAGTCATGTTTCTATTTTGTTTTATCTTATTTGGGATTGGAAGAAATTATTAGAAAATTTTCTTCTCCCTCATTATTGTTGTTAGTTGCCATCCAGCCTGACTCATTGTTGTTACGTGCCGCCGAGTTGGTTCCGACCCATAGCAACCCTGTATAGGGCTTCTGAGGAGCAGCTGGTGAGCTTAAACCACTGACCTTGTGAACCGATTTTGCAGTCCAGTGCATTAACCTATCATAGCAACCTTATATTCTACAGACCGAAATTTTGTCTAGTCTTCCATCATCCTTACAACCACCACTTTATTTGAATTTATTGTTTTGTCTATTGTGCCAATGCACAGGGGCTTCAAGAAGTTTGGGGGGAAATTGAATTAAAATATAATGGAATTTTCCACAAACGTTTTGAAGGCCGCTCATACATTTCATGCTTGGCCCACCTTGCTTCATCAAACCTGATGTTCTCCTTCAGCAATCGATCCCTCCCGATGACGTGTTCTAAGCGGGCAAGCTAGACAATGTGTTGTGATCAATAAAGTTTTCATTGACTTATTTTCAGAAGAGAGATTCCTAAGTCTTCCTTTCAAGTGTCTCTGAGTCTGGAAACCGCACTGAAAGTAGCCCACATGGGTGACCCCACTGCCTGTGACATCATAGCAGTATGCAGCCACCACAATATCACACGCTGACCATCTTCTGTAGTAACCGTCTTCTTTAAAATCACCTGAAAACTTTTTTGTCTTTCTTACCATGATGGAACTGTGTTCCTATTGAAAAGGATTAGAAATGAATATATATATGTGTTATGTGCCGTGGAGTCAGTTCTGACTCAGCGACCCTATACAGGGTTTCCGAGGCTGTAAATCTTTACGGGAGCAGTAAGCCTCATTTTTCTCCCGTGGAACAGCTGGTAGTTTCGAACTGCTGACCTTGCGGTTCGCAGCCCAATTCGTAACCACTACGCTACCAGAACTCCTTGTGTGTATATATATATAAAACAAAGAAGATTATATATATATCGCCCAACCCTGAATGGGAGTAAAAAATGTTCATTTTATTATGTTGTATAAAGAAATGTATAATTTAATAATCTTCTTTCTACTATTCCTCTCAGAATACATTGACCAAAATCCATCTTTTCAATAATTAAAAGTTTTGATATGTCTTTTTCAGAAATGTGAAGCTGGCCTCTTTCGTTCACTGTCAGGAGAATGCTTGCCCTGTGACTGTAATGGTAATTCCAACGAGTGCTTGGACGGCTCTGGATTCTGCCTGGTAAGTTGAGGACACTTGTCATGCTTCACGTATCTTGGATGGGAATAAAATACTCTTCCGGGATGTTTGAGCTACCTAAGAGCAGGCAGTTTTCTTACCCTTCGCCTTTTCCTGTAAAGCACATCGTGTAAACTACTTATGATTATAAGGGGTCACCAAGGCGTGCGTGCGAATATGTTCCATGATGTAACTGCCTCCCCATCCTCAGCAGCTGGTTTCCTGCTGTAGGCCAGTGGTGATGGGAATTGGAAATAATACACAGAGAAGGAAATCATCCATCCAAATTCCTCCGTAATAGTATAGTTTGCCATATGTTTGGCTTCACTCCACAGAAAGAAACCAGGCGACTAAAACAGTTGCTTTATAGCTTATTTTAGATCTTAATATAATCAGGTCGATGGATCAAAAGGAGTCAGGAAAAATTTTTAAGTTTCTGAACCAAATAGCTAATGAAAATGAAGTTTTGACCATGTAGTCTTTGTATTTCTAATATCCAAGCACCCAAGAGACTTTCCTTTTCTCCCTAATTGAAATGAAGTCTCTAATAGAGTGTTCTTCCGTGAAGCATGATAAAGACAGGAAGGAGTGAAGAATCTTCCCAGCAGAAAAGTCTACACAACGGCCCATTTCCATTGGGTTGGAATTGACTGACAGCTTAGTGAAAATGGGTACAGACACACTTCTCTGAAGTGGCTTCTGGAGAAGTGACAGAAGGCATTTATGCCCTAAAATCATGTGTTTTGAAGTTTCGCTGCTGTGTTTTGATGAGCTATTTTGCTATAAAGGTCCTATCAGGCCAAAGAGGCTTTCCAAAAATGAAAGCTTTCCAATTGCACAAACAGCACGAATACTTAATTAAATACACCTACTCACCTCCAAATTAGCATAATTATCGCTATTAGGCAGATCATTGTGATCATAAGTGGCCTCCAAGGCCTGTACCTGAAGGTACTACTTTACTCACTCATTACATTAGGATGCAAATTAGGTCTTTTCCATTTATTTTGAACCTAGAAGTTACCATTTGTCTAGGGGCAAAATGAATTCAGAGGTAAAACACTAAATGTTGCTACTTCTTTGTAGTGTTTTGTTTAGTCCTTTTATTTCCGTGCTCCCCTCCCCCCAACTTCTTAAATAACCATTCCATCCAGGATGTCCTGTGTTGTGGTGTAGGCACATGCAGCTGCCAAAGTCTACCCCTGCCTACTGCTTCATCTCCGGTTTCCTGTTATTTTCATCCCAGTGACACTTGAAAAAATGTTATGTACATATGTGTGTGTGTGTGTGTGTGTGTGTGTGTGTGTGTATACAGAGAGAGAGAGAGATGTCTATAACCATATAGCCATGGGTATGTTTTTGTTGTTAAGTGCCGTTGAGTCGGTTCCGACCCATAGCGACCCTGTACAGGGTTTCCGAGGGTGTAAATCTTTACAGGAGTAGAAAGCCTCATCTTTCTCCCGCGGAGTGGCTGGTAGTTTCGAACTGCTGACCTTAAGGTTCGCAGCCCGATTCGTAACCACTACGCTACCAGAGTTACATCTCTGATGAGTTGACCAATTAAAGGCTCTTTGTTATCAATTTTATTAAAATATGAGTACACGTTGTTGTTGTTAAGTGCTATTGAGTAAGTTACAACTCAGAGCGACCCCAGTCTAGGGTTTCCAAGGAGCAGCCGCTGTGCTTGAACTGCCCGACCTTGTGGTTCTCAGCCCAGTGCTGATCCTACAGCACCACAAAGGAACTGGCAATCCCATGGGCTGTGCTTAGCCAATCAGTAAGTAACTCAAAGCTTCTGCTTTGGCCTTCCAGCCAGCCAGGGCCTATGGAGAGCAATGACAAAGCCAATCTCCTTTACAGTGCCATTGCCAGAAATAGGATCTGATGACATCATCTTTGACCCAGACACGAACTTCTGTGAGGGATGCTCACATGATTCCTGCACAGATCCTGGGACTTGCACAGCTTGACTAAGCATGTGGGAGTGGGCTAGGATATAAACAATTCTATGCCCACGCAAAGAAGTTGCCATGCTTTCCGCAGTTACTTTGTTCAGCAACAGAAAAATTCTAGCACAAAGAAGTAACTACTCATTCTATTCATGCCAGTGGTAGTTCCCCGTCCACACTTGTTGTCCGACTCATAGCAACCCTGCATATGGTTTCTGAGGAGTGGCTGGTGAGATTGAACCACCGAGCTTGAACTGATTACCCAGAGAGAAATATCTTTTTTTTCCCCTCTGATGAAAGTAACCAAAAATACAGCTATACATTCCATGTAAAAGTCCTAATAACAGAATAGGTATACACTGCATGGGAGATATAAAGTGAAAAATATATTATTTGTATTTTATTAAATATGAGGGTTGGCAAATATACAAAGAATATTTTATCACTTACTTGACAACTATAGTAAGTTTATGATGTCACACTGGAATCAAACGCACTTTATTCTGTTTCCTTTGGCATCCCTGTTTCCATCTACTGAAGAAACAGCATCAGTTTCTCAGCGCCAGTACTATGACCTCATCTCATTATTAGTTATCAGGGAGCCAGCAAAGGAGCAGCCATTTCCACCCGAACACTTACTTCCTCATAGTTAACGGTGGGCACCAGGTTTCAATCCGTTCTTAATAGTTGTGTGGCTCAACACATTTCTCCAAGGAACCCTGGTGGTACACTGAAAAGGCAGTGGTTCAAGCCCACTGGCCACTCTGCTGGAGCAGGAGCAGATTCACAATAAGGAAGGTAAGCATGGGCTTACTTGTGCTCACTTGCTAATCTGTAATAAAATTCCACATTTTTCACCACATCTACTTACTTACTAATTTATAGTGGACAGTTCCACACCATGTGGTGAAAGACGTGAAACTTTTCATTACAGATTAGTAAGTAAGTACAAGTAAACCCATGCTTACCTTGCCTTCTGGGCACTCTGTCCAATGAAGGATAATAATTTTGAAAACAAGAGTTTTTTATTCTGTAGGAAGGTGCTATGGGGTCGAGACAGAGATAGATGGCCGGCATACACAGAAGCAGAATCTTTGATGCGGTGAAAATGTGAGATTGTTGACTTCAGACTAGTAAATAGACACATGAAACCCATTATTACCCAATTTATTGGATAATCTGACACTGTATGGGAGAAAGATTAGGCAATCTGCTTCCATAAAGCTTTACAGCCTTAGAAACTCTATGGGGCAGTTCTACTCTGTCGTGTACGGTTCCTGTGATTTGGAATCCACTCAATGACAGTAAGTTTGGAAATGCATTTCTCCCACCTTCTACAAGCAACCAAAAATAGAATTTGTCTTATTTTGCTTTTATTTTGAAGGTTTATAATGCTTCTGCATTTACCTTGTCCTCTCCATCTGCTTCTAATTTTTCCTCGATTCCACTGTCCAGTTTCTAGTTGACTTTGTACTTTACAGATTTTTGTTTTTAGACACCATCTTATTGCCTAGGACAGACAAGAAGCGATTTACAGACTGACTTTTAAGGAAACAAGCCATTCAGGAAGAGAATATAGAGTAGACAAAGTTATGCTATCATTTTAGATGTTTCAAACAAGAATAGTGCACTAACCATGCAAATTCAGAAAAATGATTGAGCTTAAATCAGTTTAATCAATGAAATTTCATGTATTGGAAGCATAGTTTGTCTTGCTTTCAGTTGAATCAGTTAGAGAGGGCTCCAAAGTCCAGGCAGTTTCCAGAAATAGGCACCAAGAGGGAATTGGAAGGAAGAAAAAGATAGAAGCAAACAGGCAGCTGGTGGCCAGAATGTCTGGTCATGTTGTTGTTGTTAGGTACCATCAATTCAGTACCGACCCACAG